AAAATGCCTTCTAACAACAATGTTTGAGTCGCCCAAGTATCACTTAGAATATGTGTGGGTATAGAATTGCCAGTGTCATTTGTCAAAGACACAGAACCAACAGACAAAAAAGGTTTAAATTCCTCTCTGACTACATCAGCTTTTATATCAGTGGGCATATCAACAACATCGGATGATCTGGTGAAACTACGTCCATATGGGGACACAAATGCACTAGGTGTAGCCTCCTTTTCTTTTTTCTTCTTCAAACACCAACAATCGGGCATAACATGACCAGGTTTTTCAAAAATGGCAGACAGGCCTTGGTTGTTTTAAAAAAGTTTTATCCTGACTATCAGAAGATTTTGAACTAGAAGAGCTGGATTTTTTAGAAGGATCTTTAACTTTAGTGGATTGAACAGATACAGTTTTTGTTGAGATGGTAACAATTTCTTTTTATAAAAAGTGGTTTTATGTGTTAAAGTCTAATTATCAGAAAGAGTGGCTGCTTCATGTAGAGTTTCAACTTTCTTTTCATCTATGTAAGTTTTAAGGTCGTCACATGCATAACGTTTAAATTCCTCAGTTAGACATAATTGTCTTAGTTTGTCGAAACTATTGCCAATACGCATAGAATTGCGCCCCCAATCCAAATAAACCTCTTTTTCATGGGCAAATATCATATAAGTTTGATTATCTTGTTTGCGATAACCTCTAAACTTTTGATGATAAACCTCCGGTACTAACTCATAAGCTTTGAGAATAGCTGCTTTAACGTTATCATAATTTGTACAATCTTCTAGAGAGAGAGCGGCATAAGCTTCTTGTGCTTTATCAGTTAAAACACTTTGTAATAATAATGACCATTTTTCGGTGGTCCATTCCATGGTTTGGGCAACCATCTCAAAATGTCGCAAATATTTATTAACTTCATTTCCATTAAATATCGATTTAAGTTCAAAGTTATCATTTTGCCTTGATCGATCGGAGTTGAGTTTAATTTCCATTTCTTAAAGTCTATTTTCTCTTTCAGCTTCAATACGAGCTTGTTCTTTCTCGGCTTTGATACGAGCTTGCTCTTTCTCTTTCTCGGCTTCGATGCGAGCTTGTTCAAATTTGAGTTGTTTCAATTTTAGCTGGATCTCTAACTTATCTTTATCACTCAACCCCGATTGGCTAGAGG